CCAAGCAATATATTAATTGGGAGTTTTTTTCCTTAAATATAATACATTCAATAACAATAATTTTCAACTATTCAAAAAAATAAAAAAAATAAAATGAAAAAAAAATTCTTACAAATCAAGAATTGAAATTGAGTGACTTACAAGAGACTGAAAGAGAGAAAGCAATGAAGTGGGAGAGCATGAAGGTGAGGCTTCAAGGAGAATTCTATGGAATAAGCTTGTGAGTGAGGAACTATTTGGGTTTGCGTAAAAAATCATTAAATAATGCATTAGAAAACTTGCAGATGAGAGAGCGTGAAGAGAAGAATCACAAAGAAGTGGCTGGCTCTAGAAAGATAGATCATGGAACTAGTGAACAATGACTGTATGATACTGGAGTTAACCAAAATCTCAATAGGAAAAACAAATATTATTACTCAAGCAAATAGAGGTTACAAGGAGGTACACTTTAGACTAGGAGATAACAAGGACACAACACGACCCAACTAGGATAGAGTGCGAAGACGATGGTGCTGCGGTTTAAGGGGAAATGGTAACTAAAGTAGGTTGGAGAGATTGGAAGGCTGACAACAAGCAGTAGCTGGCTGGAAGAGGATGGTGACAGGTGAGAGGTGGCTGGAAAGGAAGCTGGCGGCAGGTGGGAGGTGGCTGGAAAGGAAGTTGGCAGCAAGTTGTAGGGACCAGAAGGGTGCTGACAGCAGGGTGTAGGGGCTGGAAGCTGGAAGGGAGATACAGCAGGTTGGTTGTGGCTGGGAAGTGCGGCAGCAACTTAGAGGTAGTTGGAAACGGGGTGACAGCGGGTAGGGAGGTGTTTGGAGGGGCCGAAAGCAAGCTGAAGACGGTTGGAAGGGCTGGTAGCGAGGTGGGGATGGCTGGGAGGGAGAAGGGAAGCTGTCGGGGAATCAGAATACAGTGGAAAATCCATCACCTCGGGCGAGTTATAACCGAAACACCTTGTTGCCTTCTGATACAACCTTAGGAGGGGAAACGAGATTCTGACGGCTGTCTTGATAGAAATATGAAAGTAAAATTGCCCTAGAACACGCAAATAACATATAAATACTGTTAGGCGGCAAAGGAGGGACCCACTCCCTTTGGGTTGCAATTCCCAGCGCCAAGGAGGCTGGTCGATCCTTTCCTCTTCTATCTGGACCGGTCCCATTGGCCGGCTCCGACTTCTATTGTGTCTGGGGCAAAAGACGCCCCACATCACACTAACTACAAGGTTCAATGTGAAGTGAAAACATTTTCTTCTAGTTATTGTGACAAATGTAAATCAAATTATAAATTTGAAATGGGATTTTGTTTTTACTTGAAGCCAAATGTGAAGCACTAAAATGCGACAATGGATTGGCTTGACATCCGCACTTTATTGTAAGTTTGTCGTTATCATGTTGGTGATTGCATTTGAGAAATTTGGAGGTCTAGGTCCTAATGGTTATATAAAGTTGATATACATGTTTCTGGCATGCATGACATGTAGAAGAAATAAATATTGATTTAGCTGAATTCACAATGGTAGGAATAGATTTTGTCATTCAACTCCAAATTCATTTTTGAACAGGAATTCCTAGTAATGAAGGGTTTGAAAAGCTAATTCCTAGACTCGAGGATAACATGACTATGTTCCAAACTCTGACAATTTTTGTAACACCATTATATAGTAATTTTAGGCTATCATGCATCATGTTTAAGTAGTAGAGAATACAACTGAAGATATATGAAGAAAATTCAATTAGAATCCCAACATGGTTCCATGCTGTCAATAAACCTTGACCATATTGGAGCCATGTTATTCTCTTGCTTTATTTTTGGTGGATGTACAAACACATCATTGTCAAAATAATCCGGAAGATAATTATCCAAGCATTATTAATTGAAAGTATTGGTGTTATATTTTGTTGAGTATAAAGAACCCCCAATATAGTTTGTTTGCTATTGGTAAATCAACATTTTTTACCACATCATTTTCAGCGCAAAGTTCATTCGTACTTGTCATCTATGAAGATACTTAATCCCCCAAGAGTTAAAGTTATTTTTTTTATGAGCTTTGCAAGATCAAATTTAAGGTGCTTTGGGGCCTATAGGAAAAAAAAGAAAAAAAAAATTCTGAGCAAAATTGAATGGACTTAATGAGTTATTGCGAGTAGTTATCATTTATTTTATTTATTTTCTTAATCTCAGGCAGCACTGTTTATGAAAGTAAATAAGAAATAGTTGGGATACAGCTAATGACGATGATTATATAATGATTTCTCACTCTAAATGTATATTGCAAAAAAAAGTTGATGATTTTACTTCATATTTGAAAATTATAAGTTGATTTGCTGCCTAATTTAGGAGCCATAGCATGTGATTATTCTTTTGGCTGGTGGTCATTACTTGAAGTTTCTTGTGTGCTATATTTCTTTCAGGCCACAGGCAGGTTCCTTTTAGAGTTAATGTTCTGCATTTATTTTGAGTTCAACAGTGCATGATTAATAACATTTGTTTGTGTTGGTATAATCTATGCATAAAAAAATTACTTGCACTTTTAAAAAGATAATAAAAGTATATTTGATATAATAATATAAATTTTAGAGTTATGCATGTAAATATGTAAATATGAAAGTTTAGATGTTGTGGATATGTAAATATATAAGAATTGTGGGGTATGTATGTAAATTTCTCTTATAATTATTATGTTCTTACTTTCTTTCAATTGTTTTGCTTTTTCTTTTATCCTGAGCATGACATTCTTACTGCATATGCTTTATGATTTGGGCACTAGCGGATGATGATTGGAAAATTGCTTTCACGGCAGTTATTTGATTTATCTTCAGTTTTAAAGTATTCACTTTTTTTTCTATGAAACTATTTGTTTGCTTTTTCTCTGTTGTTTTGCATATTGATTTTTTGGTCTGGTATAAATTGCAGGGTCTTCACGAGACTAATGTGCTCTCAACTGTGTGATATTCTTAGCTGGAGGATAGATATGCTGACTATCAAAAGTGTATTTACACATCTGAAATTCAACTAGCAGTTTTTTTGTTTTTCCTTCATAAAATTACTAAAAATTGTCAGTTTTTTTGGACTTGTTGAAATTCCATAACCCCTTGACTGAGCGGTTCGTATCCTAATCTGTCTCATCAGAAGTGATGATTCTCTTATTTTCACCATGTCTTGATGTCTGCTGTATCCATGGAACTTTCTTCCTTTCGTTGGAATGCCTTCATGATTCTTATGCTCTCTCCATCCCTGGCCATGGTTTTTCATTCCCAGATCAGTAACTGAAAACTTGAAATTCTGCCCTTTAATGTGAGGATGTAAACAGATTAGATGAAAATCAGAATTGGTCTAGGCAACTTCAATTTTATGCTTTTGCTCGAATGAAAAATATATTATTTGGTGGATGGAAAATATTGGTGATATCAGAACCGGGCATATCGCTGTTACAATCAATAAATTTGGATATGATATACGTAATAACTATATGACATAATAGTTAATAGCTCTTATAACAAAGTGAAAAAATCTACAATATTAATTCAAAAGTTGAGGTAAAGTTATGTCAAGGACAACGGGGAATGCAGAGAGGGGAATGTGGAGGTATTGAGATTAGGGCGTGGGAGGGGGGGAGGGGGGAAAGTATTTGTGGATTGAAGAAATACTTAACGGTTATAGTATCCATAATAAGATCTGATTTAATCATTAGATTAATATTGAAGTTCATTTATGATTTAATTGTTTACATCCCCCAATTTGCTCAAGATTCCATTTTGAGCCATTTATTGTTGTTTATGTTAGACATATCAATGCTTTTTTTCATATACTTCTTTGCCCTGAATTTATTAACTTACTCTATTCACTCTTACTTTAATATCAGCTGATTGCCTATAGTGCGACATCTTACCATTTATGTAATTCAGAAAATTTGTGAAGTTCCGTTAAAATAATATCGCCCCCCCCTCCCCTCCCCTCCCCTCCTCTCCTCTCCTCTCCTCTCATGCTCCTGATCTTTCTCTCTTCCATACCACCTCAAACCTGCCGGTATTCCTATCTTATCGAGCAATCAATAAGTATTCCCAATTTCTTACTGGATTTAGAAGTTCTACTGTAATTTATAACAAACTCCAACCAACAGAGCTGTGTTTTTTAGTTCATAGGTTTATTTGTGCTTATTGAATACTTTAAAAAATCATTTACCAAATTTTCTCTAAATTTAAGGAATTTTTTCCAACAATTTTCTGATTTCTTTTTCTATTTTAAATGACTTTTTGACTTCTTTCCACTTATTACTGGTTCAGCAAATGCCTTCCAGATTGCATTATTCTGCCATGTTACAGTAAATGGCATTGAGTCACTGTTGCTCCTCTTATTTTATGGTTGTAAATTTATTTATGCTGTTAATCAAATTACCCTGCTGAATCTTCTTATGAATGTTCATTTACTATGGAGCATAGCATTCCGAGGGGCGATTGCTTGTGCTGTAATGGCATAATTTTGTCGGTTTTCCAGAAGATTCTTGGATTGCAGCTGCTTATAGTTGTTGGTAAGGATAGAAAAAAGGGGCATTTACATATATATCTCACAATTCTTATATATTTACACATCCAACACCTAAACATTCATGCATACCGCTCAAATTTTTAATATCACATAAAAAAATACTATCATCACTATACACCTTTTCATGCATAGGTTTATGATTCCAAAGTGTTATAAGTGTAAATATCTAAATTTGGATGTTAGATGTGTAAATACATAAGAATTGTGTGATATATATGTAAATATATTTTTGTTATATTGCGGAGTTTATATAATTCTACTATCCTGATTATGTTCTTCATGTTCATCTGAGACTAGATTGGCTGGGAAGACCTTTCTAGTTTGTATTAGAAATTAAATGGTTTGGCCCTTTTTTTTATATTAATGTTCATGTTTCGCCAATAATTCCATATGTTTTCTTTTTCCATTTTAAAAGCTACATTTTATTTATCTTTTCTTTTTTTTTTTACCAGACTTCGGAGTTCACTTTGGCTACAGTTTAAGCCTCATCACATAGCTGCTGGAGCAGTATTTCTTGCTGCCAAATTCCTTAATTTTGACCTTACATTATATCAGCACATTTGGCGAGAATTTCAGACAAGAGCACCAGTTCTTGAAGGTCAGCGCTATTTTTTTTTTAATTTTTGGGGCATTTACATACATACCACCCTATTCCAATTTATGTACATATCTAGCACCTAAACTTCGCCTTTTACACTTATACAACCCAAATCTTTCATATCACATAGAAGATACCACCATTTAATTTTCAAGTAAGGTGGCCATGTATGTAAACATTGAAGTTTAGGGGTTAGATAATGTAAATGCATAGGCATTGAGGGTATGCAAGTAATTCTTCCTTTATCTTTTTAGATTTTTCGTTGCTGCAAGGAATTAATTTTTCATATTGTTATTGCAGATGTTGTGCAGCAACTTATGGAGCTTTTGTAGGTAACAATGAATCTATCTACACTTGCTATGAATTTTATGTTTGTCTTTAGATAATACCACATTCATAAATGGCAAAAAGATTGATTTACAAATCTTATTATGCACTATTCTTCAATTCATACATGTTCGGAGACATATGTTAGGCACATTTAAGTATTGTGGAGAATGAGTGCTAGCCCGATCAACAATAGGAAGTCAAGTTGATTCGTGAGTTTGTTTGGGCTCAGCTTAGGCTTAATGCTTTTGAGTTGTAACATATTGTATAATACAAAGGTATCCTGAGTCAACTCGAGCTCGGTTCAATTTGAGTCAACTAGAGTGCCTGAAAGTAGGATGAATGTTTTTGTTATTTTTCTAAATTAGGGAAAATTTGATTGTCATAAAGTCTAGATTTTTCTCGTGATGCAATTGTTAATCTTATTTTTAATATTTAATATATATCATCTAATTGAGAGATTTGAACCTTGAAATTGCTGATTGATTTTTCTACCTGGAATTTTTATGATTGTTTTCATAAATGTTATTATTATTTAAATTTCATCCGGTTCCTTGGCATGTGGAATTGTAGGTCTGGATGAAATAAAAATGATGCATAGCTGCCACTAAATTTTTACAAAAAAAACTCAGATTTGCAACTAAAATTTGCTTTATTCACACACACACACACACACACACACACAAGACTACACACACACACAAGACTATCATCAATGGTCTTCACAAATCAACTTAGACATGTTTCTATCAGTTAGCATCGGGGCGTGACAATGACAAAGTGTCCATGAATTTGTTGCCGAAAGGTCCCGACAAAAAGATAACAAATATGGAGGCCAAGCCTTCATGAGAAAGAAGGTTTTGCTGTCAAGAAAATGCATGACATCTAGTGTGCACTACTAGAAATTTGCCATCCATCAAGAATGGGTTGTGAAAAGGAAATCCCAGCTTGATGAAACATCGCGGCGGTTGACACATTCAACTCCTCCAAAGGAGGAAATTTATCTCTATGAAAGGCCTTTAATTGAGGAATTATCCATCTCGCACTTTAAGCCTAATATTTATTGGAATCATTGCTTGGAGATTACAGTGCAAAAATAAAATAATAATGAAGAGACGATGGAGGTAAATGTGATCTATATGGTAGATAATGTCAATGATTAAACATACACTTACTTCTACCAGTCTAAACGACCCAATTTAAACTACTGCTCAAATAGGAAGGTGAGAAGAACATGGTAGCTCTTCATCAAAAAAATGAGCAAGTAGAAGAATCAGGGGATGAAGAAGAACCATTTCTCATTAATATAATGCTTTAGCTAGAGAACAAAAGAAATGCAACATTTGATTAAGACTAAAGATAAATAAATCTTTCAACTCAATGCCAAAATGAATGAGACAACATTGACACAAATAAATATTATGATGAGGTTGTTCTAGTTCTGCTGGTTGATAATCAAGCATCCACCAGTATTCCCGATAAACCACCTGTGAATCTAATACATCAAGCATCTGGGGTACAGGATGCTTTTGAAAGAAGAATTGAAGTATTCCCCATAACTAGGGCTGTCAATTTGGCTCGTTGTTCGTGAACGGCTCGTGTTCGGCTCATTAAACAGCTCGTGTTCGGCTCGTTCGTTAAGCCTATCGAACGAGCCGAACACGAGCAAATTTTTAAGCTCGAAATGTAAACTAGCCGAACATGAATAACATTTTGTTCGCTCGTGTAAATGACTCGAAAAAAAAATTATATAACTTTTTATATAACAATATATTACATATATTATTTATATAATAATATATTATATATATTTATGTCTAAGTTTAAATTATAACACCTCATGTGACAATTTGGTTAGTGTCTTCTTTTGTATACATTTGATCTAAGTTCTGATTCAACACTTTACATCTATTTTTCTCAATTTTAGTTTAACGAGTCAATTTCGAACCGAGAACGAGCTGAGTGATTCAACACTTTACATCTATTTTTCTCAATTTTAGTTTAACGAGTCAACTTCGAACCGAGCACGAGCCGAGCAATCGAGCTCGCTCAAGCTCGGCTCGTTTACAACCCTACCCATAACAACACCATCAAATTCTCGACGTGATCATTGCGTAACAACTGCTTAGATGGAAAACATATCAATGAAAAGATCAAGATTGTCATAGCCTCAAAGCAAGCTGAGAAGTTGGTGGGTAAATCCTGCCCTTATTCAGCTGAGTACTATAAAATTCCTTATCCAAAGGGATACTCAATACCAAAGTTTAATACCTTGAATGGCAATGGTAATCCCACATATTTCTAAGCGAATTATTTTAACTATTCAAACATTAGTGTAAGGGAATTTATTCACTCTCTTGCATGTTATATATGTAAGGTCTCGAATATAACATTTATTGGTTGGGCGCCCAAATTTTCAAATAGGCCAGCTATAACAACAAACTCATTTAGATTTATTATTCTTCAATGCTTAGATATCACAAATAGATTTTGCCTAATTTTAGAGTGTATATACCACACAATTCCTATATGCTCACATATCACTTGATTAAAATTTTAAGGGACTTCTACTTTACATATCACACAAATCTTGTATATTTACTTAATCCCAAAACCTTAATTTTACAAACACGACACCAAAAATCATTTTAAATTACATAAAAAATAATTCAATTACTTTTAGAGCATGCCTTCTCTTTTTATGGTATCAAAATGTGTTCCTTTTTATCCAAATTTGATATATATAAACCCTAAACCGAAAACGATCAAAGTAACCCTAAACTCAACTATTATTCAACTTATAAATAAGATATTTGGCTCAATTTACTTTTTGAGTCAAGCATACATTACACAAATACGTTCTTGGGACTCACGTCCATATAACTTCCGATTAAAACCAAAACTGAAAACCACAAAAACATTTTCAATATTAAATTTACATTTTCAAAATAATGAACAAACATAATACACTCATTCTTAGGTGATTTTGATTATCTGAGATGTATTTAACATAGGGGTTTGCCTTTATTAGAAACTTTGGAACCCAATTTAATATAAACCTTATCTAATCTTTTATATTAGATGGGGAATTTGTGTCAACATAAAGTTTTCACAGACTAAAACAGATGTCATATATTCTTTAGTTTATTTAATCGAGTCTTACTATCAAATAATGTGTCTATTCTCCGGAATAGATGCATGGCTTGTAGTGTTGTGCTCGTTTATTTAATCAGATAGATTTCGTATTATCAAAAATTAAAACACTACTTTTCAGTATATATATATATATATATATATATATATACCATCTTATGCATGACAAGGTGTATTTCATTTTTCAAAAAATAAAAGTACTATTTTTACCGTGATAATAAAACTTTGAGTGAGATAAATGAAAATAAAAAGATGAAATTTGATGGGTGGCATGTATGTAAATTCCCCTTAACTTCTTAACAAGCATAAATAAGACCCACACCCTATTGTAGGCCATACAAGCCATAAACAATAGAATTAAAAAAAAAATTGCATCATGGGGATTTATTAGGGGGTGAGTGACAATACTCTTTACATAACTAGCTCTCTATCAACGTAACAGCCATGACAAATAAATTAGCGCCAAAGAGTTTATCCAGACCATAGTTGTAAAATATATATATATATATATATATGCCATATTGTGCATGACTAGGTGTATTTCATTTTTCAAAAAATAAAGTGCTATTTTTAACGTGATAATAAAATTTGGAGAGAAATGAAAAAAAAAATACAAGAAATTTGTTAGATATGTAAATGCATAAACAATGGGTGGCATGTATGTAAATTCCCCTAAACTTCTTAACAAGCATATATAAGACCCACACCCTATTATAGGCCATACAAACCATAAACAATAGAATTAAAAAAAAAAAAAATTGCATTATGGGGGTTTTGACAATACACTTTACATAACTAGTCCACATATCTGATGAAATAAAATTATTATAAAGCTAACTTTACTCGAATATCAAAATGCTCTCTATCAACATAACAGCCACGACAAATAAATTAGGGCCAAATAGTTTATCCAGACCATAGTTGTAACATAACTGTAGACAAATAATACTTACAGAGCAAGCTCACAGAACTCTATTTTTTACCCACATGGAGTAAGCTTCTTGTTTCCGGCACCTCGAGGGTGATCATCCTTCCAATCATCCCAAGCTCGCGCCTTCTCCTGAGCCTCATCATCATCCTCCTCGTCCTCGTCTTCTCGACGAGACCCATCCTTGTGCCAGGAAGAGTTGGCCTCCTCCATGAGCTTTGTATTCCTTTCCTGCCACTTGTTCATAATCTCCATTTCTCTCAAACCAGCTTCTTCTATGCTCATGCTGGGCAACCTATTAATCCAACAATCAGCATAGCCAGAAGAGTCCATGAGTGTCATTAAGATAGTAGAACAGAACAAAGAGGATGGGAAATATTACAAAACCATCAAAATTTCATGTACCTGTAACCAGGCTGGAAGACTTGTGCTGCCATTCTCTCTCTCTCGCTAGTTAATTTTCCACCAATTAAACTTGCAGGCCCAAATATCAAAGGATGGTGTTTGTGCTCATGTGCTTCTGAGGCCTTTGCTCTCCCTTCAATAACATCTTGTGCAAAAGTTGCACAGGTGATAGGTTGAGAAGGTTTCAGAAAAGGCGCTCTGCTCGCAGCAGTTTTGTGCCACATTTCGGCTTTTTGGGTGCGCTCGTCCAGTACTTCACGAGCAAAATCATCGTTACCTTCCTGCAAAATAAATTAGAAATAACAAAGCAATAAATCAGGGAAAAAAGGTAATAAGAGGTCGATCGTGGGTCATACAAAAGGAAATCTATAATTGCAATTATTTTAGCAGAGCATTTCCAATCCTATAAGACTAACCAAACAAGAAGTTTGTTATGCCAACAAACAAGGAACGATAGCAGTCTAAAAAAACTGGTGAGGTGAAGCTAACTTATACAGGAAATTTTGTGCATAAGAAGAGAACACTTAGCAATATACACATAGAAGGAAATATATGAACGAGCGAGTCTTTCGTATCTATACACGTGGAAGGAAATATATGAACGAGCGAGTCTTTCGTATCATCAAAGTCTCCAGAACTAGATAAATAAATCTCCCTGTGGTTATGAGCATGAATCTCATCAAACCACATAGATCTCTATGTAATTATTTTGGTATTTGATATTGCATTATTCTTTTATTTTTCTTCAATCACAAGCATTATTATTACTAATAAGCGAACTTCTGTGCCCCCAAATATGTAATACGCCAAGCTTGGTATGGATTTTGTATAGATATAACCATAGTGGGTGTGAAAGAAGAATGTGTTTGAGAGAGGTACATTGTCAAAAATATCCATACTAACTCATAAGCAGACTGAACACATGAAAGCTAATAATAACATAATCCATATCATGAGAAGACCAAAAAAATGTAGAATCATAGTCCCTTTGCCAATGATGATCGTGCAACAACTCTCCCTGTCTGCACATAACTCGTCTATGAAATCAAGTACCTGTGAACTGCGCTCCTTCACGGCGACTAGCATTTCTTCCTCTTTCTTCAGCATGTCAAGTAGATCAAAAGCCTGTAAAAAAAAAAACAGTAATAATAAAAAGAAAAAGACAAGCTAAGTTACAAAAAGAAGGCATTGTTAACTGGTATTTACAATTGCACGCACAAACGAATAGATATAGACATACCTTGCAAATAGCCAAGGAAATGGTGGCTAGCCAAGCCTGAAATTTAAGAAACATGAAATATGACTCGGTCATTCAATTCATATGTAAAATAAAACAAAATCAGAAAAAAAATATAAAAGTTCACATTGAAATGCGCAAAATCATAAAGGTAACTAGGCGTTCAGCAAATAATGTATTGGATTGGACTTTAGAAAACAAGAAGTAATATTTAACAAGGTGTAAAAGGCCACATGGTTTGATCTTTCTGCAGAACATCGAGAAAAAAAGGTTGGTTATTGTAAGAATAACATGTCGTGAAGTGTTCAGTGGAAATACTAACCTAAACTTTGACTAAAAGGAACCATTGAAATCTCACAGTAGATAGTCCTTATACCCATAACAAGTACCAGTTATCTTAGATTAGAAACCAAACAAACCAACAAAAAAATAATCGTTAGGTTTATCTGAGCTGACAACAGTAATAACCCACATTGATTGAGAAAGATCCAAGAAACTAACTTCAGTAAGAACAAGCTCAATAGAAGGATATTACCTAAACAATTTGTCAAGCAATTTCAAAACATGAGCTTTAATAAAACCTTAACTTAATGTTAAATGCTAGATTCACTAACATCGCAATTTTCCAAACAGATACAACAGAACAAACCTAGAAAAACCACAGAATTAAGCAAGTAACCTATGCTGGGCGCTTTGAAAATTTACATCCAACTATTCTAATAGAGAACTAAGTCCATGTCAAATTTACAGAAGGCCGATTAGTTTATAGACAAGACAATACCTAAAAATTTTCCTCTTATCTTGCGCTATGATCTAATTTCAGATTTATGATAGGCACAAGCCTCGACGATTAAATACCCCTCTCAGTAATAAGAGGAAAGATCAACTAAGATTAGTGGGATAAGAGAAGATTGACTAAGATTAGTGGGAAAAGAGAACATTGACTACTATTAGTAGGTGGACCACAAGTGCTAAGCATCTAGTAGCTATGGTTTCAATTTTGGATTCCTAAAATTTGATGTCATTAGCATAGAACGAGTGATGGAAGAATGGATCACAACCCTGATCAAAATTCAGTCTTTCAATCATCATTTGGTTAAAGCGGGTAATCAACCCAACCTAACCAAAAAATCGTTATCAACAGTCATGGGTGGTGTTGCCAAAGAGAACCTTATAAACTTGAGCTAAATGCAGCTCAATAAAATAATTTTAAGTCAGATTTAGATATCATATATAATGCCTTATCAAATATATTCTATGATTCATCACTCAGAAAATTTGAATAATATAAGTACTAATGAGATTTGATTATTATTGTGATTTAATGACATCAGTTTGCAACAAATCAACTAGTTAGAAGGCCCCAGTCATAAACTTAGCTTTCAACCGGTCAGAGGTCATGTGTCAGTCCCTATTATAATGAGATATTTAAGAGTGATTATAGAAGTAGGCATGACATTTGCTCCCTATGAGCTTAGATTATCCTACCTTATACGTAGGGCACCCCACTTAAGGACCTCATATAGCAAACATTTGTGGATTTAGGTTTGAAAGTGAGCTTACTCACTTTTATTTAATAATCATATCTTTATAAAGCATATGCAACTTCTCAAAGCATGTCAAATTTGAGATTCTCATTTTTTGGCCCATTCAATATTCTCTGACTTCAAGCTTAAATGTTCAGCATCTAATTCTTGAGTGATCCTCAATCTTTTGAGTAAAATTCATAATCTTAACTTAGTTATTAATAGACTACAACAAAACATCATCCATGATATATGCATAATTTATAGAACCAACAAAATTAATTAAGAAGTTAATAAAATGTAAAGAATTAAAAACATTTGACAATTCAAATCTAAAACCGACCTCTCTTTCTTCACCGTCATCATCAAGTAAATCTTCCTCCCCTGCCTCGATAGGGGTGGAAAGAGCTGAAGCTCTCAATGACCTTCCTCGTCTCTCCTTCCTTTCTTTGATTTCTTGAAGTTTTGCATCAGCAGCTTTCTGACGCTTGAAACGAGCAATCTGCCATTGGAAAAAACAATCAGGAATAATGAATGCAATACTGAAATTTCCTGGTGCAAGGAATGTTTCCGATTTGAATACAGATTGTCTAGAAAATTCAAATGTAGAAATCTTTGGTTTATTCATCAAGGAAGAGTCAACCTAAAAAATTAGTCTCAGATCAAAAGGTTCAGGTAAAAATTCTGAACAGCTTCTCATAATTACAGGAAGAACAAAAGTTTGGAGAACTAACATAAAGTTAAAACACCTTAAAAGAATGGCAAGACAATGAGTCAAAGAAAACTTGTGAACGTAGAATGGCGGAGTATGTGGCACCATCTCCGATGTTAATAAGCAGATTTTGGTCAATTTTTGTGATGTAGCAATTATTAGAAATCTTCTGTTTACAGTTGAATGGATAATAGAGAAAATAAAAAAAAAATCAGGCGATGAGAATACAGTATTGGGTTTTTTACCTGCATGGCACTCAAAACATAAGAAATTACATATTCCACACTCTAAACATTAAATTTACCTATTCCACAGCCAAAATACTTTATATCATGCGGAAATAGCATGCCCATTACCTCCGTCTCCTCCCGTCTAATATTCACGCGGTTTCAGAGGGCAGAGGCATCGCCGGGATTGGAAGTAATGAACTTTTCAATCCGAGACAACCGCTTCCAGGGCCGCCACAGAGCCACCGCAGTTCCTTCCTCACATTCTCCGCCTCAATCTGTCCGCCACATCCCTCTCCCATTTCACATGCAAACTACACTCACTTTCTGATCTCTCACACTCCCATTTTCACGCAACACACGAAATCGTAAAGCAATTCTCCTCGACTATAGACAATCGATCTTTCCCCGCACAGAACAGCAAAGCAGCAGCCTACAGCATCTCCCATCTCCGTTTCTTACCAAAAGCCTCAAGCTATATTTTGCCGCACCTCTCCCAGAACGACGTCACCTTCCACTGCATGTTTCCTGCCCTCACTTGCCCTTCTTAATCACTTGTGGCCTTCTTGAGGTAAAGAAATATGGGGTTCACAATTTCTGTGAGATTCGTTATTTTTTATTTTGTCGTTTGATAAAAAACAAGTCAAAATCAGCTTGAAAAACTACTCGATTTTGGCTAACATACTGCTACATTCAGTGTTCTTATTTTTTACTCACCTCTTATAATTTGCTTTTCAGTAAACCATATTTTATGGTGTATTGACACAAACACTCTTCAGATTTATTGTTCAACTAGATGAACTATGTGATTCAGGAGCATCAAGCGTTAATAAATTAATGTAATGCCCACACTGCTTTGAAACTGCTAATGTGATATGTTTAAGATCTTCCATTCTCGGTGAGCAGGTTTAGATTGTCAACAACTTGGTTTAGATTGTCAACAACTTCTTGAAATATTACGCTTTATAATTTATAATTGCAACATTTGATTTCTAATTATTTTTATTGCAGAAAATGAATTCGAGTCAAGGTTTAAGCATTACAAACAATTTGATGTGATATAATACATATCTCACACCTAAACTTTTATATTTACAGACAATTCGATGTGATATTAAAAATTTGAGTGTTATCTGTGTAAATATGAAAGTTTAGGTGTGCAACATGTAAATACATAAAGATTAAGCGCCAAGTACATAAATTTCCCTCTGTGATAATGTTTAATTTATTTTTGTAAAAACATAAAGAATTGTCTCAAACAACTGTCAAATAAACCCTCGAAATTGATACGCACAGAACTTAAAAACCTAAAGAATTCTGGTTACAATTTCAGCAAAAGCATTACATCCCTCTAAAGCAATCCTTCAATGCATGATTTCACATCACAAGGAATTACAGAAAGGTAAACAAGAAAAGAAATGGTAAGTTATTCTCCATAAGAAAGTTGGAGCCTTTTTTTGGAACGGCTGCTACTGCAAGCAAAAATCACTGTAAAATTGTTGTGAATTTCCCAACAGTTGCTGTAATTATTATTATTATTATTATTTGAAAAGTTAGCCAACAACCTTCTTCCAGCTCACAAATTCTAGCATTTAATAAAAAGGAGAAAAAAATTTATAATCAAACAGAAATGTGGCTCTGATCAGTGATCAGTTTTTTTGGAGAGTGAAGCAGCACAGCTTTATTGCCTCCCCTAAGCCCTTCTCCATATCTGACATAAATGAAGGATGATGCAATTCAGAGCCAAATAGAAAACCTTTCTCCTTCAGCAAGCAAAAGGTAAAAATCTCTCTCTCCCTCTCTCTGTTTTTCTTCCTTGACCCTCAATAAAGAAAAAAAAAAAAAACAAAGCAGAAGAAACAACAGAAACCTACACTTAAACCATTTGACAAAGATTATTTTCATCAAATGCAGGCACTGAACTTTCAAAACCAAAGCAGTGACGCGGAAACAACTATACCAGCAGCTTTCCACATCCTATTTTATAAGGTGAAGCGAGAAAACAAAACCTGGATTTTTTTTTTGTAGCAAACAAGCTGTGCTCTTCAATTTTCGTCTCTTCCATCGAACAAGAAATATCACATTTCATCTTGTCTTATCCATAGAAAATCTCAACGAAACAAGTTCTATATATGAATGGAAGGATAGATGCGAACAGTTATAGTACCTGATTGGAGGAGCAAGTGTAGAAATTGCAGCCGAGCTTGGGACAGAGACAGCTAGTCCTTGACATTGATGAAATAGCTTGTGCTGGAGCAGATTGGAGTGTGGCTGAGGGGCTGAGTCTAAAGAAGAGAAACTAAGGCGTGGAAAGCTCATTCCCGTGCGAAACCATTGGCTGAGCAGTGAGCGACAAGGGGTGAATGAAAAGGCACAGAAGGGTTTCGGGGGATGGCACGAAAATTTGACAGGGAAAGAAAAGGAAGATAACGGGGTGCGGTATTTGTGCTTGTTAGGCAATTTTGGGTGTGAAATAGGTAATTTTAATGTTTAGAGTCTGGAATATGTAATTTCTTATGTTTTGGGTGCTATACATTATTTTAAAATGGCGTCATCCTCTATTTATGATATTTAAAAATAAAAATCGAAGAAAAACATCTCATTAAAAAAAATTGAGATTCTTGGATGAGATGCTTTCATTCTCTTCCTAAATATTTACATCACAAAAATATAAGAGAATCTAGTTTTAAAATTGAATGAAAGAATAGTGGACAACCATGATACAGAGTGGTACTATGTGACTGAAAGGTATACCAAGATCAACAATAAGAGTGGTTCAATTAAATGATTAAATTATTACTTTACAAGATTACTGTTAGGATATATCTCACCTACTCATACATAATAGGGCTTATTTATTGCAAATGTTGTAAAAAAGCACAACGACAGAGTGGAAATGCAGACAAAAAATACAAAGCAGATATCCATTGAAAATATGGCCATCACAAATATAAAAGCATACTGACTCAATGTTGTTCATTGAAAGAACTATACTGTTATTTGCAACTCTAAGGTCGTACCACAATTACTCCTAATATTAATCAATGTTTCATCATACATGTTCTAAAAACTTCATCATACTTTCAACACACCTCTATAACTTAATGCATATCAAATCAATTCTCATTTAGGCAATCAATTCACAGTTAGGCATCAATAAAGAATGTGTGTTGTTTGGTCATGTTTATTATTTGTCAGCAGTAACCTTTATCTGGCGATATTCCCGCACAAATTTCCATGTAAAGCTAATGTTTAGCTAAACTAAAAGAGATGCTCTAAGACTCACAAGTTGATTCGCAGCATAAAAGTAGCATTTAATGATCCATCTTGATAAAACATAATTTCATTTTAATCCAGAGCAGCATAACAACAAAACTTTCTTATAAAGCTCTATCTTATACAATAAAACCGGGCGTATCATGCTGTGTCATTTAGTATATTGACCAAAGTGAATTGCTATAATTTTATATGTTTTATCGTCATGCTATCCAGTGCAGGTATTTCCATAATACAAATCTAATTTGGCTTAATAGTGTAGCATGATAGCATGTGCGGTTAACAGGTTTGATAAATAGATTTTATGAAACTGTTGCTACATGCATTGTTTACTATAAGCAACTAAAACTTGAACTTGATTCAGTCAAATAAAGCAATATGTTTCTTTGCTTCTCGTTGTCCTGACTAGGGGTGTAAGTGAGTCAAGCCAATTCATGAGCCGGTTCGAGCTCGGCTCATGAACTGAGCTTGATGAGCTAAAAAGCCAACCTCAAGCTAGCTCCGAGACTCGTTAGCTTGTGAGCCGACTAATTTAAAAAATTATTAGTATAAAATATATTCAAAATATATTAAATTTGAATATTTTATCTTTAAAATATTAAAAATGTTAAAGAAATAATATTTTTTATTTTATATTAAGCAATTTGTTATTATTTATCTCCTAATTGCTCACTCTTTATGGCATTTTATTACAACACTATCCTAAATTAATATTATATTCTCCCTTTTATGATAAACAAGCCAGCTCATGAGCCGGCTCAAACTCGTAGACTTAAGCTCGAGTTCGATAAAATTAATTATGCTCAAGCTAAAGCCGAGGTTGGCTCAAGCTCGACTCGACTCATTTGCGCTCCTAATCCTGACAAATCTCACTCAAATAAAATAAATAAATTTGCTATATTTTCCATTGCATGCTTTAACTTAAGATCATGATGGCAGCATTACCACACAAACTTGAATGATTCCTTCCAATAGTTCCAAAATACAACCAGAAATTAGATAAAATTAGTTTTAGCATTCTGTTGTTATGAATGGCCATTCCAACAAAACATGTAGTTGAACCTTTGAGTGGAATCTTGCCTAAAAACAATATCAAATGGCACAAATCACAGAGAGGTCATTAATGATGTCAGGAAAGGCAAAGCATATCAATTTATGATTCTCATGAAATGTTTTTCTCTTTCCC